ATTAAACTTCCACTGACTCTTATTTTGCATGTTTTGAACCCAGTACTATTTTTTAGGAGGCAAGGGGTCCAAAAGGCGTCCAAATGGGTCTGGGAGAGGCTTCCCAGGGGCCCTCAGCGGGGAGGAGTCCAGCCCTGCCGGGCTTGGCAGGGCAGGCGCGTTTCTATCGCCACCTGACGGCCTCCAGGAGCCCTGCAGCCAATCGGGTGGCAGGAGTTGCGGCAAGATCCCCTGGGACGGCGGAATCCTGGGTGGGGTCCTCTCCCCGCTCCTAGGAGAGAATAGGCCATATCTTTTGTCTTGGGGGTCGTGGACGGCTTCCTTAAGGTGACAAGTTGGAGCTGAGCCATGCAGGACACTTTTTCTTTTTTTTAATCTCCTGAGAGGCTTGGGAGAGTGTGGAGTCACAACGCAGTAAATTGAGCAGCAAGAAGGCTTTATTTAAGGCAAAGTACACGTTCAAAGAAAGAAGAGTGTGGGCAGCCTCAGAGAGGAGGCGCCATGCAGGACGCTTACTACCTCGCCTTCTCAGCCCAGCCACCCGGGGTGCAGGGTGAAAGCGCCGACCTGCCCTCAGCAAAGCCTCATCCTTGGGGTCATTATATCCGTTTGTTCCTTGGGAAAACTGAGGCTCAGTTCTTTGGCGCCTCTAACCTCGTACACACACACACACACACACACACACACACGCACGCACGCACGCACGCACGCACGCTGCAGTCCTGCTTATTATACAATTCCCTTTATTCAGAGGAAGGGAGTTAGTCTCAAAGAGGACCTGACCCAGCTGAGTCACTAAGGGAGTCCAGACGGCCAGTTCTGCTCACCCAGCCCCACTGCAAAAGGCCGGGCAAGGGGATAGAAAACAGAGCCAGCTCCAGCCCACCTTCGTCTGCTCCACCCTGACCCAAGGTCAGGTTCAAGGCTAGAGGGTCCCAGAGGATGGGGAGAAGACACTGCCCTCCCAGGTCAGGTTCCAGCTCTCTTCCCCCTTCCTCCGCAAATCCTCAGGCTCCGCTACCACAGCCAACCCCGCCCAGGGCTGGTGCGTGCAGATGCCAGGAGGAGGTTGGCTGGAGAACTCGAGGGTGGGTGTGCCCAGCGGTAAGCCGAGCTTGGGGGTGGGACCTCTGTGCAGGCAACGCCCCCTCCCCTGCCTACTTGGAGGATCTCCTACCCATCCCCAGCTCTCAGGAATTCCGCTGAGTCATGTCCGGAGGCTGCAGCTGCAACCTCAGTGAGAACAGTTCAGAGGCACTCTATTCACGGGCAGCTGCCCTGCACTCTCCTGGGAGACTCAGCCATTGTCCTGTCTGAATGCCTCTTGGTGGCCAAGAAGGCCACCCCCACCTCATCCCCTGTCATTCTCCCACAGCCACCCTAGTGGCCATACCAGCTCTGCCTCAGGGCCTTTGCACTAGCTGTACCCTCTGCCTGGCACATTCTTACCTCAGGGAACCTGTTGCCTGTGCATCCTCCCCACAGTCACTGTCAAGGCCTCTGCTCCGGTGAGGACATGTCTGGGAGGAGTGAGGGGCATCTGTGAGCCGGGCCTGCAGATCTTTGGGTGGGTACTTAAATTGGCAAAGATGTCCAGATGCAAACTGCAAACCGGGAATGCCGTGTACTGCACGATGCAAGTGGACAAGTATACACACGCGGTGCATGTGGCCAGGTGAGAGTGTGGCAGTGTGGGACATGGCCTGTGTGCAGCATGGGGACAGGCAGCCTGACTGTGCATCCCACCAAGTCCCAGCCAGCCCAGATGTCGGCCTTGGAACTATTGTCTCCCAGCTCCACACCCACCCTTCCTACAGAGGCTCCAGCTGGGAGCTGCAAACCTCACTTCCCAGAATCCTTGGTGACCCCCTGAATTCCTGCTAGGCAACCAATGGGAGGCGCTGGGAGTCTTAACCACTTGGGCACCATAGAGCTGGATGGACGTTTTAGTGTCTGAGGATACTTAGGGGGGTCCCCTTCCCAGAATCATGCTTAAGAAAAAATTTTAAAGTCTTTAAGTTGTGTTTTTATTGCATCCTGTGTTTTTAACATTGTGTTAAAACACATAATATAAAAGTGCCATCTTTACCAATTTTAACTGTACAGTGTTGTAATAAGTACATTCACACCGCTGTGAAACAGTGGGCCAGAATTTTTTCATGTTGTAAATCTAAAACTCTATACCCATTAAATTCCTTCTTTTCCCCTCCCCCTGGTAACCACCCTTCCACTTGTTTCTGAGTCTGACTGCTTTGGATACCTCTGATAAGTGCAATCAGACAGCGATAGTCCTTCAGTGGTGGGCTGAGCATAATGTCCTCAAGAGGCATCCATGCTGTAGCTACATTTTAAAAGTGGAACCATATCTCACTGCATGAATATACTACATTCAGTTTATCCATTGATGGATCCAGACACATGTTCAGAATCATGCTTTTAAATGCATAATATGATGGAATTACAAAGGAAACTTTGTAATTTGATCACAGCAGTCAACAAGTTGAAAGAACAAATGTGTGATATAGTGACCAATCTATGCATTTCCTGATTTATTAAAATCTATTAAATAACATATCTCAAACCTAGAGATTCTAGACTTGTGGGGACTCCGGTCAGATTTCTGTCCACCAGACCTCAAGTTTTCCAGTTAAATGGTTCAAGAGATGCTTTAGTACATGGCCCATCTACTTCATTCCTAAGAACGCCACAATCAATTAGCCTCCGTCAGAAATTCCTGAAGGTCAGAGCTTTGTGGAACAGGCTCCATCTCTGTGTAATTTGCCCATCCTGTCTCTAGTGCTTAAGGTTGCTGCTCAGCCTCTGCCATTCAGGGTGCCAGCAGCCCCCTGAGATCAAGAACCCACTCAGTGGAGCATCACGCCCTCATGCCAGCCCATAGACAGTAGCTACAGTGTCCAGGGACCATGGCACTACATCACCAATATATTTCTTAAAGGCCTCCAGGGTCACACATGGTAAATGACTCCTTTTGGATTCTTCCTTCCAGCTATGTCAGGGAAGTGGTGGCATGTCTGCCTCACTGATGGGTTGCAGCTTCAGACTACAGCCAGACTACAGACCAAGCAAACTGCTGAAGGCCCTTCCAGCTACAGCATCACAGCTGGACTCTCTGGGGGGGTCCACCCTCGTAAGCCCAAAACCCCTAGGGCCCATCTCTACTCAGAGCTCCTTGATTGTTACTGACAGAAATTAGCAACATTTGAAATGAGAAAGGAAAAATCACAACGGACCCCACAGAAATACAAAGAATTATGAGAGAATACTATGAGAACCTATATGCTAACAAGCTGGATAACCTAGAAGAAATGGACAACTTCCTAGAAAAATACAACCTTCCAAGACTGACCAAGGAAGAAACAGAAAATCTAAACAGACCAATTACCAGCAACGAAATGGAAGCGGTAATCAAAAAACTACCCAAGAACAAAACCCCCGGGCCAGATGGATTTAACTCAGAATTTTATCAGACATACAGAGAAGACATAATACCCAATCTCCTTAAAGTTTTCCAGAAAAATAGAAGAGGAGGGAATACTTCCAAGCTCATTCTATGAATCCAGCATCACTCTAATACCAAAACCAGGCAAAGACCCCACCAAAAGAGAAATTACAGACCAATATCCCTGATGAACATAGAAGCAAAAATACTCAACAAAATATTAGCAAACCAAATTCAAAATTACATCAGGAGGACCATACACCATGATCAAGTGGGATTCATCCCAGGGATGCAAGGATGGTACAACATTCGAAAATCCATCAACATCATCCACCACATCAACAAAAAGAAGGACAAAAACCACATGATCATTTCCATAGACGCTGAAAAAGCATTTGACAAAATTCAACATCCATTCAGATAAAAACTCTCAACAAAATGGGTATAGAGGGCAAGTACGTCAACATAATAAAGGCCATATATGATAAACCCACAACTAACATCATACTTAACAGCGAGAAGCTGAAAGCTTTTCCTCTAAGATCAGGAACGAGACACCACCAATAGAACAAAAAGGTATCCTACAGTATGGGAGAATATATTCATAAATGACATATCTGATAAGGGGTTGACATCCAAAATATATAAAGAGCTCATGCACCTCAACAAACAAAAAGCAAATAATCCAATCAAAAATGGTCAGAGGAACTGAACAGACACTTCTCCAAAGAAGAAATTCAGATGGCCAACAGACACATGAAAAGATGCTCCACATCGCTAGGCATCAGAGAAATGCAAATTAAAACCACAATGAGATATCACCTCACACCAGCAAGGATTGTCACCATCCAAAAGACAAACAACAACAAATGTTGGTGAGGTTGTGGAGAAAGAGGAACCCTCCTACACTGCTGGTGGGAATGTAAACTAGTTCAACCATTGTGGAAAGCAGTATGGAGGGAGGTTCCTCATAAAGCTCAAAATAGAAATACCATTTGACCCAGGAATTCCACTCCTAGGAATTTACCCTAAGAATGCAGCAGCCCAGTTTGAAAAAGACAGATGCACCCCTATGTTTATCACAGCACTATTTACAATAGCCAAGAAATGGAAGCAACCTAAGTGTCCATCAGTAGATAGATAAAGAAGATGTGGCACATATACACAATGGAATATTATTCAGCCATAAGAAGAAAACAGATCCTACCATTTGCAACAACATGGATGGAGCTAGAGGGTATTATGCTCAGTGAAATAAGCCAGGCGAAGAAAGACAAGTATCAAATGATTTCATTCATCTATGGAGTATAAGAACAAAGCAAAAACTGAAGGAGCAAAACAGCAGCAGACTCACAGAACCCAAGAATGGACTAACAGTTACCAAAGGGAAAGAGACTTGGGAGGATGGGTGGGAAAGGAGGGAAAAGGGGAATAAGGGGCATTACAATCAGCACACATGATGTAGGGGGTGGGGCACGGGGAAGGCAGTGTAACAAAGAAGACAAGTAGTGACGCTATAGCATCTTACTATGCTGATGGACAGTGACTGTAATGGGGTATTTGGTGGGGACTTGATAATGGGAGTCTAGTAACCATAATGTTGCTCATGTAATTGTAGATTAATGATACCAAAATTAAAAAAAAGAAAAAAAGAAATTAGCAACATTTGTCTGTTGGAGAATAAGCTGTTTCCTCTAGGGTCAACCTTGACCTGTGAGCCCCTGGGGCATGGGGAACCTGACCCTACATCAGGGGCTGAAGGCCACAAGGGTCGGTGGGGGTGGAGCCTGCAAGAAGGTCCCTTTGAATGAGGGTGTACAGGGTCTTCAGCTGGAAGGCTGGGCTCCTCGGACACTGGAGGGCTGCCTCTGCCAGCAGGGTGGCTGCAAGCCCCGGCTCTCAGCACTCTCTGCTTTCTCCTGATGTCCAGGCTCAGGGCGCCCAGTTCCACAGCTCAGTCGTGTGCTTAGGCAGTCGTGCGCGGGTGTGCCCTTGAGACCTCAGGTTCCTCATCTGGAAAAGAGGAGGGACATGTCCCCCCAGTAGGATCGCTGGGAGACTGCAACTGGACGTGGGTGGCTGTGCCTGATGCTTTCCCGTGGCCTTGTCCAGCAAGGCCTGGGGTGAGGCAGAGCCCATGGAGGAGAGGGAGGGTCCTCAAAGGACCGGGCAGGTCGGTGAGGCCCCACGTGGTGGGAGGAGGGTGTCCCACTAGAGGGCGCCATAGAGCATCTTCCAGCCTCCTTCCACCACAGCCCGCCCTTCCCTGGGCCCCAACCCCTCCTGCCTCGCTCCCTGGCTGTCCCTTCACTAGGGCAGCTTCCCGCCCCCTACCAAGGGCTGGGTGGGGGCAGGGGAGCCATGCGACCACACTCCTGTCTGCCTCTCTTGCTCTCACCTCCCCCAGACCCTGCCCTTCTCGGCTAGGTCACTTTGGCCTTGTTACTTAACCTTGATGCATTTGGGGGTCTTCACTCCCCATCAGGGTCACCAGAGAGCCGGGTGGGGTGCCCATAAACGGGTGCTCACAACAGCTGAAGGAAAGGCAGCCGACTCTCCTTCGCTTCCTCTTCCCTTTCTGCTCTCCCTTCTTGGAAGCCCTTTCTTAACCCCACGCCCTCCTCCCTTCCTTCCTGCTGGCTCTGGTCACCCACAGCCTTCTGGGGCTCTTTGGGCCTTGCTCCCCAACAGACTCCCAGGGCAGGGCTCCAGGCCTGACCAGCTGGCACCCACCATGCCAGTGTGTCCTCGCCACACACAGGCTGCCTGAGCATCCACCTGGAATCCGAGGCCAGGTGACCTACAGATCTGTGTACTGCCAGCTATGCTGGCCCTGAGCCTCACCTGGAGTGACCCTAAACCCGGGGACGGGACAGTCAGGACAGGATAGGCAGGGGATGGGGTTGGCTGGCCCCATTTGTCAGAAACACACACCTTCCCAGCCAGACCAGGCCATGTCAGTGGCCTAAGGGAGCTGTGGTCTGAAGACCTGCCCACCCTGCCCCCTCCCCAGCAAGTCCTCCCTTCTCTTAGTTGGGGTGGGGGCTGAAGGGGAGCCTACCCCAGACACCTTTGTTGAGCACCTACTGCATGTAGGGGTTCACACTCAGTACTTTGCATATATTGCCCCATATAATTCTCATATACTTACCCCAAAGGGATTAGATTGCCCCATTGTACAGAAGAAGAAACTGAGGGTCAGAGAGGTTGACCACCATGTCCGATGACCAGCCCTTGTGCTTTTTCCCCTCTTCTCTGTGAAAAGTCAAATATTTCAAACATACATATAAGTACAGAGAGGAACACAGAGCAACTCCAGACCTAGTGATTATTTCACCATATTTTCTTCAGCTTTATTTTCTCAAAGAAATACAGGATATCACCACCTGGACACCCATCCTCCAGTGCTCTTCCCTGTGCCCCCTCCCACCTCCATCCAGAAGCTTCCTCCTTGTGTGCCCCCCCATCTGGGTTTGGTTTGCCTTTGTACCTAAGTGTACATCCCTATATAGTACACGGGAGAGTCTGTGTGTGTGTTTACAGTCCTATATTGTGGGGTGATTTGCCTACAGTAGAGGTCATCGACCTCGAGTCTATAGCCCCATCCTGAATGTATAGCCATGTGGCAACCACCCTAATTAGAACATTCCATTCGCAGAAGGCTCCCCTGCCCCCACCCAACCACCTGGAAGCCACCCTCCTGACTGCTGTCCCCCTACCTTAGCTCTGCGAAGGGACCCCGACCCAGGCAGCGTGGGGTTGCGTGTCGTGTCCTGAACCCGTCCACTGCCCGGTGCCTGCAGGCTGGTCACTCCCCGCGGCCACTGTTCCATCCCGCATCCCTTTCTCCTGCCCGCTTCCTGCCCACGGGTGTTGGGGTGGTTTCACCCGAGTGTCCTGGCACGTTACGGACTGCAGGGCTGCACCGCGCTTTCCCCCCGCCGCCCTCGCCGATATTTGTCCGGCCGCGGCCTCGGCCTCCCCTCCCTCGCGGCGCCCTGAGGCGGCCACCGTCGGGGAGGCCGGGCTCGGCCGCCAGCTCTGGAGACCGCGCCACGGGCCGCGGCCCAGGCCCCGAGGGCGCCGCCGGATGTTTCGAAATGCCCAGCCGCCCCTCGGACCCCTCCCCGGGCCCCTCGGAAAACGGGAAGTTCGGGGAGGAAGCCGCGCAGCGCGCCGGCGGCCCGCGGGCCGGATGACTAAGTTTGGCTGCGCGACCCGCCGCCGTTTGCCTTTTAAGGCAGACTCGTGGATAGCCTGCGGCCGGGGCGCCCCTCCTTCCCTCCCCCGCCCGAGTTCACACGGGGAAACTGAGGCCCGGGGAGCGGTGGGCCTGGCACCGCCAGGTGGAGCAGATGCCACCCAGAGGCCCTGCTTCCCAGCCCAGGGCCAGGACACAGATGAGTCACACTTCCAGGAGGCGGGAGGGAGGGGCAGAGCTGCATTTATGGAGCACCCACTGTTTATCCTTTGGCCTCCACTGTCCGTCTCCCTCAGGCAGCCCTGGGAGGGGGGATGAGATTGGGTCCGGCACACCTCATTCCAGATGCCAGCTCTTCTTGGGGGCTGTAGGGGTGGGAGGGTGTGGCAGAGGGCAGCTCCTCCCCCTCCGCATGCCTGCATTCACTTTCATTTGCATAAACAGGAGATAGAAACCAACCCCTGTAACAATGGGGAAACTGAGGCTGTGAGCCACAGTAAAATACGCCCAAGGTCACAGGCGAGCTAAGTAACAAGTTTGTTACGGGCGGGGCACACCCCGTCTCTAGAGGTATTAAAATGCACAGGCACCCACACGGAATATAATCCGTATACCTCTACACAGAGCTGAGTTGCAGTGTGACCCTTGCCCACATTTGCAGCTCCGAATGTTCTTCAAAGCCAGCCCCTCGACCCCCGGGCTGTAGGCCTCAAGTTATTCAAACTCAAAATGGGGACAGAGTGTGGGCGCACGAGGAATCCTCACCGGGGACTGCTGGGGGCCGGTTGGAGGAGGGGTGCGCTGTCGTGGTTTGGGAGGCTGAGGGGGCAGGGATTTAGAAAACTCATGCTGGGCAGCACCCCCTCCCCACCCAAGGTCCCGAAGGAGGCGATGGCTGTCGGGGGAGGGGACCTTGGGGGAGGCTCATGCAAACCTCCAGCCCTCCTGTGCCCAACGCCCCCTCCCTGGGCGCTCCCAAACCTAGCCTTTTATGGAGAGGAAGTGGGGCCAAGTGGGCCGGGCTGTCGCGGGCGGGGCAGGGGCCTGCGGGGCCTGCTGGAAAGCTCCAGCCGGAGGGCCGCGCACAGCATGCTCTGGGGCAGCAGCTTATCTCTGGTCTGGTACAGCCCTGGGACAAGAGAGACTCTGAGCGGCAGCCACGTGAGGCACTGTGGCCTGGGAAGGCCAGATAATAGCCACCACCCCATGCCCAGCGCCAGCAGCCTGCAAGCCCAACCTAGACCCCATGGCCCAGCCAGCCCTGGTCCTGGGCTCCACCTGACCAGCTGGAGGCCGTCTGGGGAGCTGACCTGGGGGCCCCAGGCAGTTACCTACCTGAGGTGTCTAGAGGGGCCCTCCCCCAGCTCACATTTGTTGGACCCAGGCCCTGGGACAGTTGCAGGCTCTGTCCTGTAGCCCAGGATCTGGGCCCAGACTCTAGCAGAAAAAGTCCTCTACCCTCAACTGCCATGACCTCTAGCCCTGGCCACCTGGCAGGAGGAGGGCCCTGATGGGCTGTGGGATGGTGAGGACTGAGAATTCCGACCCATCAGGTGGTCCAGGGTCCACCTGGGGTCCTGAGAGGCCAGCCTGAGGCCACTGGGCTCCAGTAAGCAGACAGGCTCCCTGAGGCCCAGAGAACTGGACATGGCCCAGTGTGGTACAAAACTCTGCTCTTCTGCTGAGGAGCCATGTGAACCCTGACTAGGGGGCTCTGGACACCTGGAATGCTGTCCCAGATACTCCCAGGGAGCATCCCAGTGAGTGGCCTGTGACAGGCTGTGATCCTCCAAGACCCCTAGAAATTCCCAGGCCTTGAAGCCAGTTGCCAAGGCCTAGGGCTGGGCAACAGACTTCAGGGCTGCGGGCAGGGCCTGAGGGTCTGGCCAGGTTTCTCTGCCAGAACCTCCCTGCTAGGAGCTTCAGTGAGACCTGGCCACTGCCCTGGCCTTCCTTAGGTAGGAGAGTTGCTAAAGGTCTCTAGGCCTAACTGCAAACAGATGCTGCCCCCTGCCTCCCCACCCTGCCACAGCCTGGGATGACACTCAATCAGATGGGGGCAAGTAGGGGATGCTCCAAGATGCTGAGCTAGAAGGCTGGCACCACACCCATGTGTCCCTGGGGAAAGGTGGCTTCATGATTAAGCCTAGGTAATGCCTACAAGTGGCCCCAGGACAACAGGGAGAGGCCAGACTCCGGCCCCTGCCCTTTGCCCTTTGCTCAGAAGTCCCTGGGAGTGGTCAAGGGCATGACTGGGAAGCTAAGCTTCTTGGCTGATCCATGGATACCCTTGTCTTCCCACCTCCCCCAAACGGACCATGGGTGAGGGCCTCAGAGAGGCACTGGCTGCCAATTCTTCCCTGGGAGCGAGAGTGACAATTCCCCAGCCCAGCAGTTCCCTGTGGCAGTTTTCTGACGCCCTGACACATTCTCTAGCTTCATCCTCTGGCAGCCTGGTTTACAGATGAGGAAACCAGGTAAAGTGCCTTGACCAGGTCACAGAGACAGCAGACATGCCTCATCTCACCGTCTCCCCTAGCTGTGTGCAGCCTTGGGAATGACCCTCACCTCCCTGACTCTCACCTGGATTTGGGGACCCATCAAGATTCCTGCCTCATGGTAAGTGATGGGGAGTGAGCAAGACAGGGCCTGCCTCTTGGAGGCTGTAGTCCTAGCTGAGGACTCATCACCTCACTTCAGCCAGGTGAACACATCATCAGGTGGTGCAGGAGCTGCACATACCTCAGGCAGGTCTCCAACTTCCGCTGTTAGTTTTGGTGCCTACAGCTATAAAACAGTATAGTGAAAGCTGCCCTGGCTGCCTCTGGGGGTTGCCATGGGACAAGATAAAATTAGAGAGCACTAGAAGAGGGAAAGCGCATCACTGACACAGAGGTTGTTTATTATTTTCATTATTATTACTATAATTATTCTTACAGCTCTAGTATTTCTGATACGAACTTCTCCGTGGCCTGAGGCAGAGAGAAATGTGAAACCTGAGGCTACAAGGTGTGTTTTGCGGCCCCCCTGGGCCTTTTCATACTGGGGAGCTATCTGCTGGAATGCTGGACTTGGCCCTGCCCCTCTCCTGCTCCTGCAACCTCTGAAACTCCCCATGGCTGTTGGAGGACAGAGTCCCAGCTGCAGAGTTTATGCCAGTCCTCTGAGAACACACCCACCCCAGGCATCCTGGGTGCCAGCTAATCTCCAGATTTAGGAAGCACTTTCCTGCCCCCTGGCTGAGCTTCAGAGCTGCATTCTTGCTGTGTGTAGCCCTGCAGCTTGCTTCTCTTCTCTGGGCCAGGGCTAAGGCTGATGACAAGAGGAAGGAGCACCTGATCAGCTTTGGGGGAAGGAAGCACTGCAGCTGCCACCTGGGAGGCCTGGGTCACAGTTCCAGTTCCTAGTTTCTGACAAGTTCTTTGGTGGGTCTCGTGGCATCCCCAGTACCGGGCCATAGAGGCAGGCCTAATAAACTTCTGTCTGCAGAATACCCAACACGATGAGGGCCTGTCTCTGGCCTCACAGGCTCCAGAAACCAAGCTAAACCTAGGTATGTGAGCCTAGGCTCTGTGCCCACCTCAATCTCCCCATCTGCAAAATGGGACCAAAATCCAAGGCCCAGTCCATTCCTCTCAAGGGGTGAGGACTCACAGCCCCCTCTGACCTTTCCCCCATGCTGCATGCTGGGAGGGAGCAGGGCATAAGGAGGCAGGCAGTGCTAAGAGAGCTCCCTCAGCCCCATGTCCACCCCAGCCCTGCTCACCCAATCAGGCTCTTCCTCGGCTGAGGCCTTCATGTTCTCTACTGGGTGTTGGTCAAAAAAGAACTGACATTGAGCCCAGATCTCCCCATGGAGTTTTCTACAGACTCAATTCCCAAAGTGCCCAGCCATCCCAGGTTTGCAGTTCTCCCAAAATACCCTTCGGTCAAGTCCTTCCCAAATTGTCTCCTTGGTGGACTCTTACTCAAACTTTAAAGCCCAGCCAAAAAAACCCTCCTCTGGAAAGCCTTCTGGAGGCCCCTCAGGCTGGATTGCCCCTCCTCCATGTCAGCCTCTCATACATCTGGGATATCAGACAGTTGTTCCCCCTGGGGGAACAACTGGAGTCTGGAGTCTGACCTGTGAGTATCATCAGAGACCCGGTGAGTCAGCCTCACCCAGAGACCTGATGACTTCCTGTGACATCCACCCTTCCCTACTACCCTCCTGCCAACACCCGCTGGAAGGTGTAAGCCCTGAGCCGGCCCAGCCCCTTCCTCATCAGCTTTGGCAGTCCCAGGACACTGTTCTTGCCAGGGTTCTGCCCACACCCTCCTGAGACAGGATGCTCACACCCTTGAGTGACAACACCTCCATTCCCGGGCCTCTGTTCCTTCTGTACAGGTCTGGGTCTACCTACCCACCCTCCTTCCTTCCCTCCCTCCCTCCCTCCTTCCCTCCTTCCTTCCCTCCCTCCCTCCTTCCTTCCCTCCCTCCCTCCTTCCTTCCCTCCTTCCTTCCTTCCTTCCTTCGTTCCTTTCATCTGCAGATGGAAGCTGAGAACTTCCCTATACACCATGAGCTGGGGATCCTGCAGTGATCAAACCATATAATGGCCCCTGCCTGTGGAGCACAGAGGGAGAACTAACATGTAATCACACAAATACATCTAATTATCAGTTGGGATGAGCATGACAAGGAACAGCAGGAGCCACAGGAGCCCTGCCCTTGTCTAGAGAACAGGGAGAGCTTCCTGGAGGAGGTGATGTTTACACTGAGCCCTGAAGGATAAGCAGAAGTTAAAGAAGCAAGAAGGGTGTGTAGGGGGAAAAGGGTCCATCATAGACAGTGAGAACAGCAAGCGCAAAGGTCCTGAGACAGGCAGGAGTTTGGTGCCCTAAGGACTAGAATCAGCATGTTTGAAGTGTGAGACGAGGTTAGCAGGGGTGGGAGCCACACTCCCAAACTAGCTGCCATCTCAGGAAAGTGCACACATCATTAGTGTGCAGCTATATGAATTGCCACAGAATTACACATGCCCAGCACTCTGATCAGGAGACATTTCCAGCTCCTGGACACCCCTTCAAGCCCTTCCAGTCACTCATCCCCAAAGGCATCCTGACTCCTGCAGCATGCTGAGCCCCATCCCTAAGCTCAATGGTACTGACTCACACACAAGCCGTT